GGTTGATTTGAATTGTGGTATTTGGATGTGAAACACAGAAGTTCCTTTCTGACCGTTATAGATGTTTTCAAATGGAAACTGCCTATCTATAAAGTTCTTACAGGTCTGCCTATGAAGGTATTTGTTTTAGGCCTTAAGTATCCCAAATTACAAAGCAAGTGACAATTTCAAGGCAATTCAGGTTGTAGGCAGAAATCTGGCAACCAGAGTAGTCAAAAGACAGCCAATACGAGGCCTCCCTGATCAGTCAAGTGCTGAATTCCCTTCATTACACTAAGTACATCACATTCCACACCTGAGACAATTCACTGCCCGTAGCTGATCTACCACCAACAAAAATAATTCTGGAATTTCATAATGAGCTTGATGATCAAATTCTATGAAAGACGCTGAGTGCAAGAAATATACCTCAAAAGTGGCTAACATGGATGAGGAATCAAAGGATGAGAGTCCAAACCTCAGAGCTCTGTCAGTTACTTGTTACCATTTCAAACCCATAATTTCCTTTCTTCCGTTGCACCAGAGAGAAGTAGCTATGAACGTTAATAACAAAGCCTTAGAGTGTCTTGAGGTACCTCATTAGGCAAATGTAAGTGGGGGCAATTTATTAGCATGCACAGTTCCCCCAGTGCAGCCCCTTGATAAGGGGAAGGCCCTGATGTAACTACATAGCATGAAGTTTATGCTTGCCAGAGGAAAGATGTTCAGCATGACAGCTGCAGCCTGACTAAGCATCTCACCCAGGTTGTTACTGAGAAACAGCATTAGCAGAATACGATACCTTTTTCACTGTAGTCTCTGCCTACTGAAGCATTTGAGAGACACATTAGAATGCAGGAAGATGTACATGGAGAAAGCTTAATGTTATATTAGAAAGTGCCAAGATCTCCTCAGGCAGTCATATCAGCAACTGTATATTATCATTACGCATTTAAGGAAAAACAGTAAGTACCTTTTGTCACTACCCCCTGCGGTCACAGCATTAGCTGCAGCTTCTAGCCAGAAACTACCCAGACTATAAACTACTTGCAACAGCAACCATGCCACTGTCCTCCTTTACCCCATCCTTATGCATCTTTATTCCAGATTTTCTGGAACATAGGTGGTAGGGCAATAGTTTGAAGCTACTCAGGGAAAGCACAAGCTTGAAACTGTCAGCAGATGTTTTACTGAGCATCTTGAGCAAATTTCACAGTACATGGCTGTTACAATTAGCAGCAGAGTATTAAAACAGACTACGGAAGTATATGGGGAAAAAAACCAGCCACTTACTATGTACTACAAGAGTAGTTTATACAAGGATTATGAGTTAGTGATCCAACTCAGCTGCTCTGATTCCTGCTCAGGTTTCCAGGAAACTCCCTCCCTTTGCCCTACTGCTTCCCCAATTGCTGCACCTCCAGACCACAGATCCCTAAGTTTCCAATTTGCCACAACAGTAATTTCAGATCATCTAAGAAAAGCCACGGACAATATTTTATACTGCAAATAGAAGTTGCCTAGGATATTCCAACGGATTATTTTATAAAGGAGAATACTGCCTCCTCTGTACTCCATAGAATTTTTTGTTGTCTCAGCAATACTCTCTTTCTTCATGAGGGTGAAAGCTGTCCATATTAGCTCTGTATTCTCTGGAACAATGCACGCATGTGTCTACTACAAGACAGTTGTATCAGGTGGTACATAATGCTCAGAGAGATCATGTAATCACAAGGAAAGGGAAGATAAGCAGTTTCTATTACTCCTGACATACCTTTCCTTCTAATCAGGGCATTTCTAAAGCATCACTCCAAATATTTCACTTCATTCACTTGACACTTTTCAACCACTATGGTCCTCCAGCTACTGCCCAGCTTCTCTTGGAAAACCATCTATGTCAAGGCACAGAGTGAGTAGGATACTTAAAGGAAAGAGGAAAGGCAGGAAAACAACCCTGAGACTCTTCTGCAGATACAACCACGCCTTTTAGGAAGGTAACCGAAAGTAAGCCACTGACAACAGAGGTGAGAGGGATGGAAGGCATATTTTAGTGAAGACAAAATTATTAAGTCTTGTATTTTCTGTAACTGCGCCTATACACAAGATTTACATATCCTTTAAGCTACCCTTGATAAAGTTCCCAGTCTTGCTACAGCAATGCAAGGAAGGCAATTTCATCTGCAGTGCATTTATAGCTCTGGTTTACAGGATTTTCCTTCATAACCCAGCCCAGGTTTCTAGCTCTCTCTCAAGTCAGTGTTTTACTAGCTCGTAGTTTGTCAGCTAGTACCTGCAATGGACAATTCTTAGCAACTCTTTCAAGATAAAAACAGAATAATAAAGCAGGGTGGAGTTTGGAAAGCAGATGACTCCTAAAGCCTGATCCTGAGTGGGATACCTACAAGTATTTTTCAATTACATTGATTCTGTAGACAGGCAGTAAAAGAAGCAGACTGTAATTTCTGGATATACCTCCAAATAGTAGCACCTTGGAGTTGGTCACAGACAGAATGGTCTTGGCACTGTGGCAACTGTATGATCCCTACCCAATGAAGACAAGCTCCAGATGGAAAGGAATACATGAGAAGCTTATGCAGGAAGGCTCTAAAGCCGTTACTGTTCCTTCTTAAATGGTAATTTTGATTTGAAACTTAAGAACAGCTTCTCAAGGTCAAAGTCTAGGTCCAACTGGCAGATCACAAAATCATAGGGCTGGAAAGCCCCTTCTACTGTTCCTTGAGGAATAAGAGACAGCCCTATCTTGGTTATATTTACAGATCTTTATATAACCACTTATTAAAAAAATAAATAAGAGACTGTTGATTCTACCACCTTCTTAAGTGGGCATCTATTCAAGTCTGCTCTTTCTTCATATTCTCTTCACCAGCCCAGAGGGAAGGTTACTCAGCATCCTCCCTGAGTGTCTTGTAAACAAGCCCTCTTATGTTCCCATCTACCTGTATTACAATACTTCCCCTAAGAGGCTGTCTTCACAACACTCCTTTTCCCTAGAGCTCATTTCTCTGAAGCTGTTACAAAGACTGAGCAAAATACTCCAGATAAAGCCTCCTTAGAAGTATTCCCCTCCTTTTTTCTATACAAGCACCATTTTAATCCTTCCTTCAGGACTGTTTCTACCCTCCCTCCTTTTTCCCTTTGAAGATGGAGTGATACTCCTGCCATTTTCAGATCATTTAATCCACTAGGCCTTTCCTAGCACTGCATTTGATTTCTCCTTCCTAAGGGTAAATCTCTACACTTGTCTTGAATTTCATCTGTTTCATTTTGGACTGTATCTCCAATTGGTCAAAATCATTTTCAATTCCAAATCATTCTTCCCAAGCCCATGAAGTCTGTCCTAGTGAGAAAAAAATAGTCCAAAGCCAGCATAAAAGGAACAGAGAAAAGTTGCACTTCAGTAGAGCTAGCATCATCAGGCTTCAGGATAATCATATAGTGTCACAGTAACTATTCACAGGTGGCTTGAGTTGTGACAAGTAGGAATCATGCTCACAAGCTAATAGCAACATATTTTGTTGCTATTATAGGTAGAATTTCTTAATATTATCATTGCTAACAGAAAGGAGGCAGAGGTTTTATGTCAGGAGCCTGACATGAAATGAGCCTTCTAGGAGATCTAGAACTCTGCTTTCAAGCTACAGGAAAAAAACTGCTTTTCCTGCCTTATGAAAATAGTTACTTGGGCTTGCGTTTGGGAGAGCCAGCATTACAGAGGTAAGAGCAGAATAATATTTATACCCTGAGACTGTAGAGGTGTCAGGGTACCAATGTAAAAAACTTTCAGTGCTTCCAGTTACTTCCCAACCCTCTCAGACATTGAAACACCTTATGTAGAGTACTATCAGCAGCTGCTCCAAGGAAAGAAGGTGAACAGTTGTGGTCGAAGTGGAGAACTCCAGGTCACAAAAAACAGCCTATTTTTGATTTGTTGTCACTTGCTCCTTCCTCGGGATTCAGATGAAAGCCAGTCTTTTATAGCACAGTGTCCTTCCCTACACTTTTAGTCTAATGCAAGCTACCTGAAGCTTCTTTGTTTTGCCACTTATTATCTCACTTTAATGCTTCAAGCACTAGTAAAAGTAATCATACTGAGTTATAAAACTGATCTCATCAAGACAGTATTCAGCAAATCAAGCAACTTGACTCATTGCTTTGCTAAATAAGGTTCTGTTTTGTTCCAGCAATACGGAAATCTGCAGGTACCCGTGTCATAACTCAGGCTCCTCACAGCATAACATTCCAATTCCCCTTTTATTTTTCCCTACCTGTTGAAAGACAGCAGAGTATCAGTACACAAGTCTGTTTGTCTTTAATAAACTTATCCTTCTCTTTTCTAAAGAAAATACCTTCTTGCACCTTTCCCATTGACCCAAAGGCCAAACAGTACTTCCATGCCATCTCACAGCATCGCTTCCAGATTTTATTAACCATGTTAGAATTCTCTTCTGTTGGCTTGAATCCCAATTAAGCTACTTTCATTTTAACCATAACCATGGGAAGGACCCATATTCTGGTGCAGTTCTGCAAGTGTCATTTTAGACTGAATGGCTATGGCTGGTTGAACATGAATCCTTGTGCCCCTTCAAAACGAGGCACTTGCATTTTTCCATTCAGACACTAGATTTTGTGAGAATCTGAAATAGGCTTCCCCCCCACAAGTTACTGGAGGAATAGCTCTAAGAGAACCAGGGAAGTTTGATCAGTATAGATCATACTGTGATTCATTCTCAAAGGACATAATGGTTACCTAAAAATCAGTGCTACTCCACATCTGGTCTTCAAACCTAAAGGCCTGGAAATCTAGGACAAGCACACAGCTAAACAGATACCCTTCTTCTTTCGGCAGCACATGGCCCAAGTACCTCCACAGTCCTGCCTACAGCCAACCTGAGCTGGTACCCTAAAACTGAGGACACAAGGCCTTTTCAGGCCACATCTTCACTACAGAGAGCAAGGCTGGCGTCTCCCATTTTCTTACTGTCTCCAAGAAAAGCACTTACCTCTCAGAAGGTTAGTGAGGTGTGGAGGGATTCATAGTAGCTGAGACACAGGCTGATGCACTACAGTGAAAGTAAACCTATGAGGAAAGAAGCAGAAGGAATTGAAGTGAATCCACATGGGTTATTAGCCCCACATTAACGTTTAAATACTGCATTATTTCATCATTTGCCAAAGCTCAGATGAGCCCTAACCTTCTGCAGATAACTCAGGAGGAACTAAAACTGTGGGGGGAGTTGGGATGGTGTCAGTCATTTGAAACAATGGTGTGAAAACTGCAAGGCCTGGATCAACAGATAGAAGTTCAAGGCTATTCTTCAAGAGTCGGTTTTAAGATCAGAAACTATTTCAGACTGGTTTTACCCCAGAGCTCCATAAAATTTCTACGAAGAAATTTGGTACAACTCTACAATATTAAAAAATAAGAAAAGAAGAAGCAAGTGCATAGAACTTGCATTCAGAGCTGTGCCACTCCCCTAAGGAAAAGACAGCTACAGAAAGGGGTCAATGAGGTTCTATTAAACACCCTCAATTTCTGCATATTTTTATTATTATTATTATTTTTAGAACCAAAACAGCTGGCCTTATACAGGAACTTATCAGACTAGATAAATCTTATCAGTCCATTAACACCTGCTGGAAAGTAGAATCCACCAAAGCCAAAGTGCTAACAATTAAGCACTTCTGAGAAGAAAACTTGCAGAGAAAAGCTTTTCCCATGTTACCTATAGCCTGTATAATCCAGGAAGGGCAAGATCATCTATCGTTAGCACCTTTCCTGCTCAAATCTTCCAAAAAATCGTTATCTGAAAGTGTTATGCTGTGCAACACTCCCAATATTCTGACTCCTCATGTTGCTGTCTGCCACTAGCTAATTCTTGTATTCTGTGGTCTCCAATCTTCTGCTCAGGAAGAATCAGAAATAAGCATTACAGAAGTTTCAAAAAGACATGACTTCAGATGCAAATTCAAACACTCATGAGCATCCATCCCTGAATGTCTACTGACAGTGGAAGGATATGGGAAATGAAAAAGTCTCAAGTAAGACTTCCATAGTCTCAATACAGAAGTCCAAGCCACAGACTGTAAAAAAAATATATATTCTCATTCCCATTTAAGTTTAGAATTACAGCTACAAAAGATTATGTGATTCCACTTTATTTCCTTCAGTCAACTGATTTTTTATTTTATATAACTTAAAGGAGCAAGACTGTATTTTAGTGTCTTCCTCAAGGATGATCCTATTTTATAACTTATCCAAATCCTAGATTACATGGAATATGAATCTTTTCTTACCCAGAAAGTGGTTTTGCCTACAGAAAGTGGGAACTGATATTGAACAGAGGCCTTACTTTTGATGGCTGGTCAATAACTCTTATTACGTCTCCTGCTTAGAGGCACCAAATCCAGTTTAGTGGTGGTACATTCATCTCCAGTGACCACAAAGAAATGACTACCAAATATATGCTGGATTATGACAGAAAGACAGCAGCCAGCCCTTGTAAGATATCATTTGAGAGCTGCCATTTATTATCTCCTTGCAGTTCCCTTTGGTCAGTAAGAAAGAAAGCTGAGCCAACTCTGTCTTCCCCCTGGCTTAAAGACCAGCTTTACTCACATGCCCCTTTCCCACAGCAATTCAGCATTTCTTACTGCTAGCCAACTAGCAATCAGGTTACAGTCTCCTGGTAGGTTTCAAGAGAGGGACTGTTCATTGCCTGCAGCTCTTCAGGACAAAAGTTGTGTTCTTTTAGGGTAAGTTAAACAACACAGAACCAAGAGTTTAACTAGCAGCTATAGCCAACAACATAGTGACTCTGCCAAGGCTGGCATGTGTTAAAGAACTATCTTGCTCAAGTCTGTAGGTGCTGCCAATGCCTAATATCAAAGGCTATGGTGATTTCAGGCCCAGCACAGCTGGTTCTGATGAAACTGCATCACCTAATGACATCCTGGAATAAGGGCTGGAAAGCTGTCAGAGAGATATTTTGTGTTTGTTTTCATTTTCTTCAAATAAAAAAAAAAAGTCAAATTGTATATGCAATATTACATCAGTCTTGACAGGAGAATACTTCTGTGGTTTAAAAGGTAAAGAAGGTTGGAAAAGATCATGCCAGAATAGCCAACATCCCAGGGATGGGATTGTTTAGTTTTGTTTTTAAACTAACAGTTTATTCTATTACTCTCCTATTTTAAAGAACTTGATATTACTTCACTGAAGATGTTGGAATAGAAAAGTGATTTCTTGCACAGTTCCAATCACTTGATATTATACTTAATACTGTCTTTCTCCCAGGGGGATATTGAACTATCAAATTCCTGAATCAATATGAACTTCACAGGGAAGGAGGTCACTGCATAGTAAATCCTAGTTGGAATCCTGCTTAAGGCAGGAGGGAAAAGAACATAATGACTATGTGTAATTCATTTTCAGTAGAAAACATGCCTTCTAGGAATTAATCCTGAAATTCTTTTTTAAAGTTGGTTAGCTGCAGCCACCACCAGGGTCACACAGACAGTTTAAAATTAAAAACAAACAAACTAACAAACAAAAACCTTATTGTATTTTAAATACCAAAAAGATACTACATAAATGGTACAACTTAGTTTAATTCAAGAACCCTTAAGATGTTTTTGAGCTGTCTAAGAGAAGATCACCTCATGATGAAGGAGTAGGATTTAGATATTCATTTATTTATTTACTTAGACAAGGACATTTTGCTTTCAAAGTACAAGCTACTCAGTTGGACACTTTTTCTCCAGATGTTCCACTTGGAGTTATACTAGCTCTGTACTGAGTTAGCTGTAGAACTGTTTTAAAGACCAAAGATCTAAGATCTCTCATCGTTAGTCCTTGGTATCATGCTCTACAGTGCCATATAAGTAGCTAAGCATGAAGCTCATTCAGTTCTTAATTCCTAGAAGCCTTTATCATTGCCATTCCAAGCCACCTGGACACAGAGAAACTCAATCTTTTGCATCATACCAGAGATCTTTGCCTTTACACCTTGTCCAAGAGAAAAGCTAAGGCAGCTCAAGGCAACTTGTCTGGGGCTGCTTCTTGCAGCATCTACAGCCACACAGTGGCAACAAGAAGATTCACACCAGCTTAATTTCCATTATGAAGCATACTTGTGGTTTACAAGCCATTCTTGCTTTTATCATCCTTACCCTGAGAAGCATTTGCATTTTTTCTTTCAAGTGCAAAGGACAACTCCACAGAAGTCTCTCATAACATTTGCAGTGTTACCCCAGTACAGATGTTCTAGGTGGTATGATACATGGTAGTCCCCCCAAACATTTCAGTTCCTCTGCCTAGAAATGCATATTTTCCCTTAATCTAAAAATATTCCAGAGAAGGAAAAAAGTCACCCAAGGCAACTGTGTACTGCCTTTCCTACTCTGTAGGAAAATACTGCTGGTTTTCTATCCACCTAGTTCTCCTCATCCACCTCCATGTAAACTCAAAGAAGATAACTTTCTTCTTGCATGAACCATCACTTCCTTTTATGGCTATCTTTTCATCTTAGGAGTTGGCAGTTTTTCTGAAGTCTTCACACAACAAGAATCAACTGAATCCACCCATTCATGCCCCTTCCCTGCTGATGTCCACTTCTCAGAGGAGAAAGCAGCAGCTTTTTTTGCCCAGAACAGGGAACACAGGAAAAGCTAAAATTACTCACTAAAATTACTTACTGTGCTGGGAGATGCCAAACACTATTCATTGCTGCCATCAATCCCATTCCTCCAGGATAAGGGTATACATATCTATTTTGGCTTCCAGTGACCACAGCTGGTTTCTATCCCCTTACTGAGGGCTATTGAGTTCTTATCTTCAGAAAAACAGCAAGTTACATAACAGCAGCTGAGACCACCTTTTTTTTATTATTTTAATTTTTTTGAGATTCTCAAGAGTCCCACTGTCCAGGCAACATTATATGACACTATTAATCATCTTTCCAAGGCAAAAAATAAAAATACACAGCCAAAGCCATCATTCCTTGCTTACAGGCTTTTGTTTCCAGTGCAAATGAGCCTGGAGTTAAGCTATAACCAACTAATACACTCAGCTAGAAGGTTAAGAGCCATATCCACAAAGGAGACTCTAAGTATCTTTTTTCTCTATACCCTAAGTGGATTGAAATTTTCTACTTTTGATTCAGATAGTCTAAGAAGAGGCAACAGGCATCAGCAAGGCTAGCCTAAGCAGGTCCTGTGTTACCATACCCCAATCACTTATTCTCCCCAACCTGATGCTCGGAGAATAGCAAGGTATTATGAGCAGTTTAAGGCAGTATTGTCAAACACCATCAGCCAGGCATTGACAGTGGCTTCATAGCACTTAAGATGGTTAAACATGTAAGTCTAGTAGTCATTAAAGAAGTTATATTTTTCTCTAGCTTGGGAAAGGTATATAACACTTTAAGAGGGGCTTGAAGGTTTGTCTCAGTTTTAGGAAGTGCCGCCTCCCCATTCTATCCCACAGTCTAACAGTTAAACAAGAGGTGTATCATGAGTTTCTTACCTCAAGGACTGGTCTGCCTTCCCATATCACTCAACATTTATAGCAGGGGAAAAAGCCACTGTCAAACCTCTCCTGCAGTTGAGACCAGACTGTCTTCAGCAGCATTATGCAGAGGATGGGGCTCTGCCCAAGAAGATCCAGGCAGAAAAACCTCAGTCAAAATGCCTCACATTTGCAGATGATAACTACATGCCAACAGCCATGCTATCCACATTCTTCTATGTCTTCCAAGGGGAGCACTTACATACCTTCATACAGGGCCATATATATCTTCATATACAAGGCCATTTCATATATCTAATTATCTTTCTAGAAAGAAATTACTGTTTCTCACTCAGGTTTCTGCAGTCGCATAGTTCTATGTGGAGAGAAGATTCGTCAGCGTCAACCACAGGTAGCAGTTTTATCATTTCCCTCATGTGAGCTCAGAAGGGATAATTTGTAGAAGAATCCTAAAGGCTGCACACACAGCTGCTGTGTGATCAGACAGCAAGGATGGTTTTGGAAGGTTATGCTTGTCTCAGCCCTTTCGTCCTTTCACCCAGAAAGGTTAC